TGGCTCACAACCATCTGTAATGAGATCTGGTGCCCTCTTCTGGCCTGCAGTCATATATGCTGTATACATAATAAATAAATAAATCTTAAAAAAAATAAATAAATAAAAAATAAAAAAAACCTGCCTCACTAGTACCTCTTGGACAACATACGGGCAGCTACGCCACCTGAGAACTCTCCTCCCCCTCCAGCAATTGCTTACTGGCCAGATAACTTTAGGGATGAACCCTGTCTCAGTTACATTTTTTATTGCTGCGATAAGACGCCATAACCAATGCAACTTAGAAAGCATTCAGTTTGGGGCTCCCATTTCCAGAGGGTAGCAGAATCTACAACCGTCATGGTGGGAAGAACGGTAGGAGGCAGGCAGGCATGGCTCTGGATCAGAGTTTACATCTGACCCATGAGCATGAGGCAGAGAGAAAGCCAACTGGAATAGTGTGGGGTTTATTTTTGTTTGGTTGGTTCTTTTGTTTGTTTTTTGAGACAGGGTTTCTCTGTGTAGTTTTGGTGCCTGTCCTGTATCTCGCTCTGTAGATCAGGCTGGCCTTGAACTCATAAAGATCCACCTGACTCTGCTTCCCGAGTTCTGGGATTAAAGGTGTGCACCACCACCACCACCACCACCACCACCACCACCACCACCACCACCGCTAGGCTTTAGTGTGGGCTTTTTAAACCTCAAAGCCCACCCCCAGTGACACACCTCCCCAACGAGGCCACACCTCCTGATCCTTCCCGAACAGTTCCACTAACTAGGGAGCAAGTATTCAAATATATGAGCCTATGGGGGACCACTCTCATTCAAACTATTACAACTTCCCTCAATGATGTACTGTAAAGTTTAATATGACATAAACCCTTTCCTCTCCAAGTGGTTTTTGGTCATCCAGTTTATCACAACAACAGAAACTGTCTTAGTTAAGGTTTCTATTGCTATGAAGAGACATCATGACCATGGCTTTTTTTTTTTTTTTTTTTTTTTTTTTTTTTTTTTTTTTTTTTTTTGAGACAGACTTTCTCTGTGTAGATCTGGCTGTCTTGGAACTCACTCTGTAGCCCAGGCTGGCCTCGAACTCACAGAGGTCCGCCTGCCTCTGCCTCCCAAGTGCTGGGATTAAAGGTGTGCGCCACCACTGCCACAGGGCCTTAAAGCAACTCTTATAAAGGAAAATTTTTAATTGTGGCTGGCTTAAAGTTTCAGAGGTTTAGTTCATTATCATCATGGCGAGAAGCATGGCAGCCTGCAGGCAGACATGGTGCTGGGGAAGGAGCTGAGAGTCCTACATCTTGGTCTGCAGGCAGCAAGAGAGACTGTGTGCCACGCTAGGCCTAGCTTGAGTATATGAAACCTCAAAGCCTGCCACTACAGTGACACACTTCCTCCAGGAAGGCCACACCTACTTCAATAAGGCCACGCCTCCTAATAGTGTCACTCCCTGTGGGCCAAGCATTCAAACACATGAGTGTGTGGGGGCCATTCCTGTTCAAACCACCACAGAAACCGAAAGAGGATGGGGGAGGTGTGGGTGGGTGGG